AAATCAGTCTGTATATGCAGTAAAGCATGCTTGTTATACTCAATGTGGAACCTAAGGGATTAATCCTCTGCATTGTGTAAAAAAAGGCCCTTTGATCCTTTCTTCTCTGCTCCACCTCTTGTTCAAATTTCCACCTGATAAGACAGACTGAACCCATAGCCACGTGCACATGCTCAGTTTAGTGTGTAGTGCTAGAGAGGTTTTTTTTTTCTTGGGAGAGTGCATGTGATCAGCACAGGGCCAATCAGCACTGTCCAGACAGAGAGTCAGGGGATTTGCATCCTCTTAGAGCAGAAAGAAAACTCCTCCTACAAGCTTTAACCAGTACTGTGCTGAAGTCACAAGACTGCTCTAACTGCTGATGAGAAAAAGGTATTTGGCAGTTTATATTTACTAAAATAATTTAACTTCCATGTTCTGTGTACTGTGGGAGACCAGATATAGTGAATGCAGAGTCCTGGGTTTAGTGACACTTTAAAGTGAGAAAAAAATGGGAAAACCTCTTCCCATTTCACAATACGGCATACACTGCAGAGGAATGGCATGCATGGGTGTCATCCACGGAGGAAGCCTCTCCTAAAGCCCATGGACAAAAACCCCACCTAGAATTTGCCAGGGGCCATGTTGAAAAAGAAGAAGACTACTGGGACTCTGTACTCTTGAATGAAAAGACCAAGATAAATGTTTTTGGAACTAATAGCTTCAGAACTATATGGTGTCGCAAACGTGAGGAGTACAATGAAAAATGCATGGTGCCTACAGTGAAACATGGTGTTGGCAGTGTCCTTCTGTGGGGCTGCATGAGTGCTGCTGGTGTTGGGAACTGCATTTTATTGATGGTATCATGAATTCACAGATTTACTGCTCTATATTGAAAGAGAAGATGCTACCATCACTCCGTGCCCTTGGTCGTCGTGCACTTTTCCAACATGACAATGATCCAAAAACACACATCTAAGGCCACTGTTGCATTTCTGAAGAAGAACGAAAGTTGAAAGTGATTCAGCGGCCATATATGGCTCCTGATCTGAACCCAATCGAACACCTATGGGGAATTCTGAAGAGACAAGTTGAGCATCACTCTCCATCCAGCATCCAGGCTCTAAAAGAGGTCGTTCTTGAAGAATGGAAAAAGATAGATATTGCAATCTGTTGTCAACTTGTTCATTCCATGCCTAGAAGACTTGGTGTTGTCCTTATAAAACATGGAGGTCATACAAAATAGCAGATGAAGTAGTTTTTGCTGTGGGGTGTATTCATTTTTGCATCAATTAATTTGAATAAAACTGATTTTGTAAACGATTTTGTAATCTAAGTTATCTTATTAACCTTACTTTCATGTAATGATCTAAGCAAATGTTCTAAAAAAAACTAAATTTTGTAAATATTTGGGAAATTGTTCTTGTGTTCAATGAGATATTGATTAAAGTCTTACTTTTCAAAAGGGGTGTACTCATTTATGCTGAGCACTGTGTATATGTATATGTATATATATATATATATATATATATATATATATATATATATATGTATACTGTATATATATAATCGTATACAATTGCGACTGAAGTCATTTTGTACTTTAATGTTATAAAAACTGACCATTCCTTTTCAATCTGCAGCACTGTAATTTTTGTAAAATGCTGTGCAATACTGTGTTCTGTACACAGATGGGGTGCAAACGCCTCCTGAAAATATAATTTCCTGCATGTATGACTGGCTCTCTGATTTTCCCAGAAGTCTGCACTAACACAGGCCATACATGGGTCAAATTCTGAACACATTTTCTTTAGAAAATCAGACATTTTTTAATCCGATGGTGCCACCATTGATTTCAAAATTCGACCAACCAAGCCTCCTCCAATATCACCTCATGTTGTTACAGAAAATAATTTTTTGTGGCTGGGAATCTTCTTTGCTCTTCAGGTCACAGCTCATGCTCATTTCATTTTTGATTATATTTCTCACACGATTCTCCCATCATTGATTAGAAATTTGTTAATTTTTAAAAAAAATTTCCAACATGCCTGATCATTCAAATTCGATGGCCACACGAAAATCGGCTTATGCTGAGGCCCACTAATGGTGCGCAATTCAAATGAAAATTCTTAGTAACCATTTTTTCAAAGAAAATTATTTTGGAATTTGACCCATGTATGGCCTGCATAGGATGCAAGTTACATTTTAGGCATCTTCTGCAACAAAAAGGTAATTTGTTTGGTGAGATACTCCCAAAGGGAAATTACGTCTAGGGGGAAGAAGACTTTGCCACTTTCATTTCATTAGAGCCCTGTGGGTGCAGCAGCTGATTTATAATTATAAAGCCACTCCCATTCATATTCACTCTGCACATGGACACTGACAAACAGATAGGACTCTGCAATATAGTTTGTTAAAATCCTTGCAATGTACATAGATCACCCAGAGGGGAATGTTTTTTTTCTCAATAAAAGTGGAGATATTCTTTAAGTAACAGATTCACTTTAAAGAGGTGCTAGATAAGCACTGTAGAGAAAGAAGTAAAGAGGACAGCCATGACACTTTATTAAAAAGCACATTTATTTACACTAACGGACTCCTATGTATTCCTAAAGAGCTTTTTATATGTAAGTAATTGGAAGAAAGTAAAATCTACAACCTGATTGCTCTTGGTCTATTTGCCACAGTAATGGTTCCTGAACACGCCATTATATGAGATTCCTATTGCAATCTGAAATGAAACATGTTTAGCCATTATATAATTTTGTGACAGTGTGTTGCTTGTGCTTTACAGAGCCAGTGAAGTAAAAGTTAATTTGCCTCAGGGTATGTGCCAGGTCTATATGTGCAGAGTTAGAATACCAGAACAAGATCAGCTGTTTACATTAATCTTTATTGTCCCACTAAGACCATTGAAATGTTGGAAAGTGTGCAGCGACTTCATTTATGCTACCTCTGCTCCTCCTTCATCTGGCATCTCTCTCAGAACACATATACTGTCAGTCTGTAGGTTTATTACTCTGGCATACTATGTCAGATTTTGGCTCTGAGCCTTAATGTCAAAGGTAAAAAAAAAAGCTTGTGTATGCAAGTCATCAGGCCACGTTGGCTCACATTTTCTACAATGCAATTAAAAAATAAACACATATTTTTTTTCATCTGTGCAACGGTTTATAAATAAACCTATAAAACCTAACAATTATAAATAATTTATGCCATTTCTGAGAAACGAACCCTAGAAAAATTAAAGGTACCAGCATGTCTTAACATGTTTACTTAGAGAATTCCAGGCCAGGTTCTTTCCTCTCTATGTTCTGCAGCAGCTGTTGACTGTAATAATCTCTGTATTTTAGACCATTCTCTATACGTTTCTAAGCAATCATCTCATGTTAAGGTAGAGGCATCTGTAGAGCCTGGAAAATGTTTTTTTCCAGGATGGACGTATCATTGGAAGTGGTCACAGAGGTAACATTCTTCATTTCTTGATTTATTTTTAACAAGATTTTTGTTTGCAGTGCAAAGCAAACGTTTCACTTGGACACCTGCCCAGCTGCAAATATTATCCTTTGCTTTACTCTCCCACCATTTTCTTCGGTCAACCAAGATAAAAGAATGCTCAGCATTCCTGGGTTTGGAGGCATGTGGCTTCTGCTACATGATAGTGCTAATGTTTGGAGGTTGGTTGCTCAGGCAAGTAGCAGTATTGTGTGAGTTTAAAGAGAGAGTTATCAGTCTTGTGTATCCTCCAATTTCCAACTTACAGCACACACAAGGCTCTTTTTTATCCGGGTGGCTAAGGGAGTAAAAGGAAGGTAAACAGTACTACTGCAAACAGTGGCGATAGATGTGCAAACTCACCTTCCTTCGCTCTCTTGCCGAGGTTGACATCTTCACCTAGTCTTCTTCTGTATTTTGGATTTTGATTGGCAGGGCCAAAATTATGAAGCACATGCATGGGAGTTCACCCATTCTAGTACCAGGGTGTGTCAAAAAAGTACAATGAGCTGTGTAGAGAGGCAGGTACATCTGTTTTATTTAAATTCACACTGCAAACTCAATAGGGTAACTAAAATAGTGGTAATTTGTGAATGAATACCAATAAAGGGGTATCAAGCAATTCACAGACCAAACAATTTACAAGACAATAAAAACAATAACTATATACTCCTATTTCCATAGAAAGTCTTGTGTGATTTCACCATGTGCTGAGTAAACTCAGAGTGTAACAGTCCTTCTTAAAACTCAATATTGGTGACATAAAAATCCATGTGTTCACACCTCAGTGCAAAGGAAAACAAATGGCTCACTCACCAGATATATATGACCCCATTACAGTGGTCATATATCGCATTGTGTTTTATAAACCAGGATAATCTCTAGAGGTTCCTCCACATATGGTCACCATCACCCACACTTCATAGTTGGATAGCCAGTGGGACTGATGTAAAATTGCCTATACATTCCCCAAACGATAATTGAAGGGATTGGGATAAATAATCCTCGCTGTTTATGCCATACCACTCGAAGGAATCATAACAATGAAAAAATGTTCTAAGTGTAGTATTTAATAAGGCAGCAGTAAGAATTACCGTATTTTTCCCTCTATAAGATATACCTGACCATAAGACGTGCCTAGCTTTTTATAGGAGAAAAACAAGAAAAAAAAAATTCTGAACCAATGGACTGCAGACATAGTACAGGAGATGACCAGAGTATGTGGACATAGTACAGGAGATGACCAGAGACTGCAGACACAGTACAGGAGATGACCAGAGACTGCAGACATAGTACAGGAGATCACCAGAGACTGCAGACACAGTACAGGAGATGACCAGAGACTGCGGACACAGTACAGGAAATGACCAGAGACTGAAGACAGTACAGGAGATGACCAGAGACTGTGGACATAGTACAGGAGATGACCAGAGACTGCGGACACAGTGCAGGAGATGACTAGAGACTGCGGACACAGTACAGGAGATGACCAGAGACTGCGGACATAGTACAGGAGATGACCAGAGACTGCGGACACAGTGCAGGAGATGACCAGAGACTGTAAACACAGTACAGGAGATGACCAGAGACTGCAGACAGTAAAGGGGATGACCAGAGACTGTGGATACAGTACAGGAGATGACCAGAGACTGCGAACACAGTATAGGGGATGACCAGAGACTGCGGACAGTACATAGGATGACAGAGACTACGGACATAGTAGAGGGGATGACCAGAGACTGCGGACATAGTACAGGAGATGACCAGAGACTGTGGATACAGTACAGGAGATGACCAGAGACTGCGAACACAGTACAGGGGATGACCAGAGACTGCAGACAGTACAGATGACCAGAGACTGCAGACAGTACAGGGGATGACCAAGAGAATGCAGACAGTACAGGAGATGACCAGAGACTGTGGACCTTTGGGGAGGGAGGGGGAGCAGGTACCTGAATTTGTGTTGTCCTCCCTTTAGTGTACAATACACAACAGGTCCCAGAAGATGCTGGGCCATTCACAAAGCGTGGCGCTTCTCGCGCATGCGCCGTGGGCACCCACCTGTCCAAACTAACAATGCCGGCCACGGGAAGACTGCACAGCGCTGGACCGAGGAACAGGTAAGGTCCTGTTGCAGAGAAGAGCTGAGCGGCCAGCCCGGTATTCTGACACTGTGTTGGCAGCGGAAATACCGGACCAGCCGCTCCATATTCACTCCATAAGACGCACTGACATTTTCCCCCCTTTTTTGGGGGGAAAAAAGTACATCTTATGGAGCAAAAAATAATAGTAAGAAGGTTGCTGGCTTCTCAGGCACTGTATCATGTGAGTGTATCTAGTTTGTTTTAATTCTTACTGTTGCCTTATTAAATACTACACTTGGAATGTTTTTTCATTGTTGTGCTTCCTTCGCGTGGACTGTTACACTCTGAGTTTACTCAGCATGTAGTGGAAGCACAAGGACTTTCTATGGAAATAGGAGTATATAGTTATTGTTTTTATTGTCTTGTGAATTGTTTGGTCTGTGAATTGCTTGATATCCCTTTATTGGTATTCATTCACAAATTACCACTATTTAGTTACCCTATTGGGGTTATAGGGTGAATTCATATTTTATTTAAGTACAGCGCCTACCTATTCACTACCAGTTCACACACAAGTGTCGCTTTCACTTTTTAGGGGCAACTGAAAAAAACCCATAGGAAAGCTAACTAAGTTATCTACACCACTCATATTTGGCACCACAATAATTTATTTTGGTTTGGTTTACATTTTTTTTATTGGAGAAGAGACATAGTATGTCTCTTAAAAAAACATTAAATTGCTCTGGGACTTTAAATGAGGTGCAACACACACAGCAGTTAAATGCATAGTATACATGATTGCCAATTTATTGATGGAGAAAAACGATTGCCAATTTATTGGTGGATAAAAACAATTCCTATTATATTGCATAGAAAACAGATAAAATTATATCTAGCTGATTTGATCAATGCATAATTAGATTGAAAAAAGCATCCTGAAACTCAAAGCATTTTGTGAATCTCTATTTACCCCTTTAGGAGTAGATGCACATATAATTATCTGTAAAGTAAAACACTAATTTTGAATTATAAAGTACGGTTAATAATTACTGATGTTGGCCACTTAAATGACCCTATACTTACAGCTAAAGTTAACTACCCATGGCAATTTTTCCAAAATGGTGACCACAAGGGATGTCTAAGTCAGGAGCTGTGAAAGTAGGATTCGTGAGGATCCAAAGGGACAAACCGAAGTCAGGTACAGCGTGTGGTGAAGTAAAAATTCATCCAATCCATATTATCACTCAAAATGGATGTAAAGAAAATGGTGTGCTTAGTTATATTGTATATCTAGGTCCAAATAAAAATATCATCAAAAGTGGTGAGAAAATCAACTGCAGGAAAGAAAAGATTATAAAGAAATATGTGGAAATAAATCCCAAAAAAGGAGAAAAAAAAACAAACCACCAAGTCCACAGAACAGTTAAGAAATAAATAATGGGCACCCAAAAAACCCACCAAAAGTAAAACCTGTTGGAGCAAGAGAGATAGAGTGTTGCTAACAGTGTCTTAATGAGAAGAAGGAAAACCACCCCCTCCTGTCCCTCCCATTTATACCTCAAAGGGTCACCGCTGGTCTCTTTTGCAATAAAGAACCTGCCTGTTTGCAATTTTTTTTTCCTGTTTAGTTCTACTTTAAGCCAACGTTTTGCTCTGCCCTGCATTGACGCAGAGCAGGCTTACTTGAAGACATAATAGTTAACAGTTTGGCCTTGCAGTGATAAAATACTTGTTTCAACTTCCTTGACAGACATTATCTACATGGTATTTAGAGACATTAGGCTCACTACACTCTTAACAATTGTTATTTTTCATAACAACCAGTATTTTCAGCAACATTAACTAGGTTAATTGACTTCCCCATAGAAAGTCTCTCTATTGTGAGTGTGTGTCTGTGCTAGAGGCATATACATTAATTCCGAGCTGCTCCAAAGTCGATGTAAACCCAATCACTAAAATCTTTGTATTTCATTACAATAACCTGGTGATCCTGCCATGAAGGTACTGGCTCAGACACTTTCTGTTACGGTGTAACAGCACGCACTGTTCCTGTCTCCCACTTACTTCCTGTATAGTCATCCTGTTAAGTGGGCTTCCAATGGAAACTACAAGTGACTCTTCCAAGGCATGGTTCATTGTTGTTGACCATCAGAAATCCTGATATGATAAATGTTATCCTGAAGTGCATGCAAAGATGATGCAGGAGAGTAGCAACACTAAGATGCAGCAGAGGACAAAAAACTGGAAAACAAGTATATTACTACAAACAAATGGTAATTGGGTATGACACAGTGGTATAGCAATCTAAATGGCATTCAGTTAGGGTTTATATGTACTGTACTAGGTACTGTGACAAGAGAAACTCTGCTTTCTCACTCTGCGGCAGCTCTGCCCACCCCACCCCTCCGTTGTCCACTCACAGAAGGCTTTGTATTTTGGGTTCACATTATACAAAGCTCTCTGTGATTGAGCAGTAGGAGAGGAGGGGAAAGGGGGGCAGAGTGAATGCATATGGCAGTGCAGCAGCAGGAGCTGAGACCAGAAGATATAGTGTCGGAGCGCAGAAAGTAAAACGAAATTATGCTCCCAGCGCTCAGTAAAAATATAAACTGTAAATTAAAGAGATAAGTTAATGAGGTGGCATGCACCCTAGTAATCCAGCACTTTTTAGAAAGTGGCTGAATTCCCGGAGTTCAGCTTTAAGGCAGAGGATAATGTATTAGTTATATATAGCTTGTAAATTGCTGCAACGTGCAGGTGCAATATGAAAGTAATACATCAAATCACCAGTATAAATTTGCTAAACATGTCCACCAAAATAGGAAGAAAAAGCTGTGCTCATTGAGTACTTTAAATATTTATCTGCTTCTTTTAGGATATTACAAAAAACATGTGCATTATAAATTTGTTGCTGCTGGTTTTAATACCACCACAAACAGAAGGTTAAGAAAAAACACATTTTTTTTTCAGGGTGTTTTATACTACAGCATACGTTTTATGTGTCTGCACACAGCTATGAAATTAGTACCTCTACCAACATCCCATCAAGTTCTACTAATGAACAGAATTCACTCAAGGCGCTTTGTAACTGAAGATTTATTGCAACCTAACAAAAATGAAATTATACTGCATAAATGTTCCTCATTCTAGATTTTTTTCAGACTATGCTCCTGCAATTTAGAAGCACATTCTAGCTGAACTTTATTTTCTTACAAGCAGAATGGGACTGGTTTATAAAAAGAAAATGGAAGAAAGAAAAGCATGCTTATGGCTGGACAGAAGGTTGCTTGAAGCTGATATAAAGATATTTAATGTACTTAAACCAGTTGTCTTTACAATTTATTGACTTTTTAAATCACAATATACCTTAAAATGTGTTTCTATATATTCCAGGAGTCCATCTATAATTATAAAAAAATCAGACACAATTTGCCCAAATGCAGTTTAAGAGGCACTTTGCTTGTAAGCAGTTCTGGAGATGCTGGGGTTGATTTATTAAAGGAGGAAATGCTCTTCACATGTGCAAAGTTAATGTTAGCAAATAAGGTTATGCTCAGTTTGATTACGCAATCATGTGCTAGCAAATGCATTATTTTTTTTCTGATTTTCCCCACATGATTGAGTATTGTGCAAAGTGAACATCCTCTAAACCTTTAGTAAATAAATCAAATTTATGAGCTGGTGTAAACAGAATCATTTCACGCAATATTTAAGTGGAGGACAATACAGAAATACATATAGAACTATGACATTGATTTACTAAAATTGGAGCTTGCAAAATCTGGTGCAGCTGTGCATGGTAGCCAATCACCTTCTAACTTCAGCTTGTTCAATTAAGCTTTGACAAAAAAAACTGGAAGCTGATTGGTTTCTAGCAGGCTTTGGAAAACAGTCTTCTACTTAACAGGAATAGAGGTGCATGTGTTTATTTCCTACAGAGAATTAGGAGGTCAGATTAAGGTAAACTGATTTTTTTTTTTTTTTTAGAATGTAGCACAATTGATAGAGCAGCAAACACTTTCACGTTTTGCCTGGAATTGTCCTTAAAACCTTAAATTGGTTGTAAAGCCTTAAGGTTTTTTTTACCCTAATGCATTCTATGCAGTGAGGTAAAAAAACCTTCTGTGCCTGGAATCCCCCCAGCCCCCCCCCCCCCCCCCCCCCCCCAAACTTACTTGAGCCCCATCATGATCCAGTGCTGTGCGTGAGAGCAGCAGCTCCCACTGCTGTCAATCAAACTCTGTGTGGAGGGAGCGGGGCTGGAAGTGTGCCCCGCTCTGTGTGTCTATGAATGCAGGCATTGGGACTGGGTAGCGAGCCCACACAAGTGCCCCCATAGGAAGTGGCTAAGTCTTATAGATGTAAATGTTATTCCATAAATAACATCTCTTTCCAATGGCCACTTTAGTTAGGAATATCTTCGGGGTTGACCTTTTCAAAAAGGGGTAACCCAATCCTCCAGGTTGGGTATGAGAATAACAACCTCAGCTTATATAAAAGTAATTGCTGGTAATTCTAAGCAAATTGCTATGACCCTACAAGGGTAATTCCACCTCTGTAAGAGATGTCAATAATTGTTTCCTTCAAACTTCGAAAGAATTCCCGTTTTGTCCTATGATAAACTGAAAGTTTTCCACCAGTTCCACTCCTGTGTGGTGAATAAACCATTTCTTTGCACACCTGAACACACTGAACATATTTTCTTAAAGATGTCCTGCATGTAAATGTGTAGCACAAAATTTACCCATGTCATACTATGTAGATTAACACAAGAGTAGACTGCTTTCCCAGCCACAAATCGTGTTGACTAGATATTTGCTATCACTGAATTTGATGGTGTGAGAATGGGATGAAACAGGAAAGCTACAACACTATTAACAAGTGGTGGACCAGTGCTTGTCCTGCAAATCCTTCATTCAGACACAAGATAACTGAAAG